AAGTTTGGGAAAACTTTTTGTTTTAAATGTGTAAAAAAATGTTTTTGAATTAAAAATATCATGGAACTAAAAGTTGAAAATATTATTTTTATTTTTTTATTGTAATGTTAATACATAAAAATATATAAATTATAAAAAAAAATATTTAAAAAAATTTAAGTAGGAAAGTTTACCCTAACTAGACAATCTTTACCCTAACCAGACAATCTCCTTTAGAGAAAACTCCTTAGGCTCGTGGATTAAAACAGACGATGTCTTATAATACTATCAACTTCCATGATAGTTAGGGTGTAGTCATACCTGGTATTGACACACCAGATCCCATCAGAATTCCTTGTACAAAACTTCCACGACGGTTTAGGTACTTTTTTTTTTTTAATTCAAAATACAAAAACAAAATTGAAGTCACACCCAAGAAAGCCCAAAAACAAGCGCATGGAAAAGCAGGCATTGTCATACCGAGGCATAGCTGATTCATGGAATGTGGGGCATCAAGCGGCAATTCATAGAGCCCAAAGAAATTCCCTCTAGCCCAGAGTTATCTGCCCCAAGGCCCATGTCCTTGGGTTTGTTATGATCCAGCACTAGCAGCTACCCAATTCAAAATTGAGGCAGATAAAAATTAAGTCTCCTCTGAATTGTCCTCCCATAAAAATGATATAAGATGGTCAATTAATAATCCCTCTACCCCAAAACAAAATTTAAAGGGAAAAAACATATAAAAACAAAAAAGGAATCTCAGTGGTCCATCCATAGACTTCATAATGAAATTCATGCAAACTACGCACTTCGCTGCATGTTTATAGGAGGACCATTTCCAATATTTAATAAAGGAAAAAAATTCAATTGTAACTTATTGGATTTTTTTTTTTTGATCTTAGTGGCATAACGGGAGACAATTATCTTTTATCCCTTATCTCATTCTACTCATATGTCATACGACTTGAATTTATGACATTTTACTTTCAGGGAAAGTATATAACCACTAAATTATTTAAATTGTTAACAATGTAACTTATTGGATTGGCTTAAGTTATTATAAACTAATATAAATTACACTCAAAATAAAGGTTCAAATTCCTTTAAATAACATCATTTGAGTGCAAATAATTCAAAGGGGTCACTACTGTAGCTCTAGCTAGTATCATGTTTATCAGGGGACCATTTCCAATATTTCACTTGTTTTTTGATCAAGGAGAAAATCCATTAAGTTGGCTTAAGTGATAAGGTGATGTAAACCATATTAAAAACGTAAGTTCAAATCCCTCCAATATCGAACGCAAACAATAATTTCGATAATTCACAAACCTCTCTAGCCAACATCATATCTATGGGAGATCATTTCCAGTATTTCACTTGTTTCCTTCATTTAGTTAAGTAGAAAAATTCAATTGTAACCCATTGGATTGGCCCCAATGGTAAGGTGATGTGAACCAGTTCAAATCCTTCTAACATTACTACCATTTAGGTGCAACGATTCTAATGGGAATTAACTTAGTGCTTATAGATGAGGTGATTTGTAAGAACTCATGGCATCAGTCTAGTAAAATTAAGGATATATTTGGTTTAAGGTAAGGAATGAGTTTTTTAACTAATCAAAACATAACCATTTCAAATAATGTAATTTAATTAGTTAAAAAAATCTATTTCTATCCTCCATTTCCTTTAAATTAAATAGACTATTAAGTTTAAATACTCTTGTTATCTAGCTAGGAAAAAAATTCAAGTGGAAAATCTCCTAATTTTTTTTTAATTTTCTAAATTAATAATTATGGAATTATTTAAATTGCTACAAACACAACTTCAAAATCTTAATTCTTGAATTAAATTTATGCGTCCAAATTCCAAATACATTCAATAGCTAAGTACTAATACTTTTTTTAATTTATTGATGAAAAAAAACTATCAATATTAAAAGAAATCAAAGAAAAAGTGAGTTTACCCAAAAAGTAACACCTAGTTGATAAGAGAGTTTATTCTCTACTTTCTTTTTAATTTTTGATTATTTAAAAAAACTAATAAAAATATAATTCTTCATGAATTGCATGGTACTAATGTAGATGATTTGTTTTCCACTAAACCGAGGAAGAATTTGTGTCCAAGCTAGTGTGAGCAAATTGATTCCTTTTTGTTTTTTTAAAGTAGTTTAATTGGAAATGAAGAATGAAATTGTCAAAACTTGAATTTTAAACTTATATAGCATGTTTGGAGTGCTGGATAAATGGTGGGATTGGACAAATTTTTTGTTTGGTCCCACCATAGCTAACGTTTGGGAAGGTCAAAAGATTGGATACTTTTTATCTCAACTTTTATCCCATCCCAAGTGTATAACATAAAATGTATCCCACCTCCCTTTTGGGATTGGGTGGGATAAGATTGAATTTTCTCTTTTTACCCCTCAGCCAAATTCCTCATCTCTCATATTGTTGGTGGCTTTCTATCTCCCCCAACAATTTTTTTGTCTTTGCTAGCATTGTGCATCGGTTTTTATAGGTTCACCAACTCTCCCTCTATCTTGTTATCCTTGATTTTGATGATTTGAAAACCAAATGTAAATTGAAATATTTGCTTAACTTATTTGTGAATTGGAATATTTATTTGATTCACTTGTGAATTGGAATATATTACTTGATGTTGAATTGATTTTTTTGAATATGTTTCCTTTTTGGTGGAAGCCTATTTCAATGGGTGATTATATATTCAATATATTTCCTTTTGTTGTGAGTAGCAAAAACAGAAACTATATTCTACAGTTGATGTTCTAACCCTTGATGTAGGGTCCAAAACGCTTGATAAATTTGTTTTTTACAAGGTAGTGCAGCAAATCACACAGGTTCCAACCCCTGATGTAGGGTTTGGAATCCTTGATAAATTTGTTTTTTTGCAAGGTAGTGCAGGAAATCACTCAAGTTCTAACCCTTGAAGGTAGGTCCAACCTCTTGTGTTAAGTCATTGAATTACCTACCATATTTATAATATATTCATTCCAAATGAGCTCCAACAGTCATGAAACATTGATTGAGCAACCTTAGGATATAAAACTAGATTTAGAAGAATGGAGAAATCATGGAAAATAGAGCCTTCAACTTGAAATCCTAAAGTGATTAAGCTTTTACCTTGTGTTTTGAGAAATCTTTTATTTTCTACATCTATTATTGTTCTCTTTCATTGTAACAAGTGAGGGAGGAAGTGTGAAAACCTTGTTAAATTTAGGAATCCATCCTTGAGGTGTAGAAAGGGATAAGAGATTTGTAACAAAGGGATTAAACAGTTGATAGCACCGGCAAATTATTGTAATCGATTTCACTAGCTCCCATTAAAATTAGTGTTAGTGGATTGAATCTCGAGCCTAGGAAACTTGAGGACTAGACATATGATCCAAAGAGGGTAATAAGCTAGGATAATGGAAGTATTTGATAATTCTAACCCTACTATTTTAATTTATGAATTGTAGTTTTCAATAACACATTGATTGCTTGTGCTTGATCATTGTTTTTTCTTTAAAATTGCATAAACTTTTTGAAACCCAATTCACCCCCTCTTGAGTTGCCATTTGAGCCAACACATCCCTCTCTCTCGATCCTTCTCCCTTCTTCCTTCGTTGAAATTGCCACCTATCACACCACTCCCACACCTAATCAGAATCCATCTCCGCTCCACTGTCCTCCTTTCACTCCACCATTCGATCCCTCTGTTCAAGTCACCAAAATATTCTTAATCCCAACTAATTTGCACCGGAATCGAAACTACCCAAGAGTTGCTGAACGCTAGACGCCACAAAGTGGGTGCACTACAATCACATCGAACAATGGGATCCCTATTCTCAGCATCCATTCGCCAACGATTAAAATTGAAAAATGTTCAACTAATTAATGAAGTTAATTTCATTTTCGTAGTAAATTGAAACAACAATAATGAAGTAATTTCAATAGTAATAAATTAGATTTTTGTTTAAATGAGTATAAATTAATTATTAATTATCTTTTATCAACAGCAAAAAAATTTTAAATTTGCACAAAAATTTGAAAAAAAAAAATATTAGTATTAAATTGCACCATAAGAAAATTTTTGTCAATAAATATATAATTTTATATTCAATTGCCTTACACACCAAGCATATTATAGGACTATTAAATTGTCTAATCTTATCAAATCCAATTCAATCCTATTATTTCTATTTTACCCAATCCTATTCAATCTTATATTCTAAATGTGCACATAAATGCTACCACACTTCTCAAAAAAATTGTGGTCATTGAACCACAAGAATGATTGGGAGCAAATTGATTCCTTCTAACCATTAAAAAATTGAAAAGGGTCTACGAATAGCTGGTTTTTTAAGGACCCTTCCGTCAAACAAGGCGCTTTTCAACATGGGAAGGAGATACTCAGGCACAAAAATGGAATACTAATGTTCTCACAGAAGACGGATGATACATGGGGAAGGAAAACTGCAATTGGTAGAGTATGTGACATTACAAGGTTTTTGATATATATGTTCAGTATGTATCCAACATTTGTGGCTTCCATCATTTATCATATATCTTGTCTTCCCTTGCATACAATTAATTTTATATCATGTATGTTATACCAGATGGGGCAGACGGCAACCCTCCACTTCTTCTTGGCTATAATTTCCTAGCTAAAGGACAAATCACTTGATTTGATTTTTGTTTTCAATTGTTTACTCATTTAGGTTGAGACTAAGAATTTAAACTTAAAAATTTTTCAAAGCTTCAAATTTTCTATTTTAATTACCACATTGGATGAGAACCTTGTCGGTATTGTAGAGATGGTGGATTGGTTAATTTGCAATGGAGTTTCCTCTTTTATTTTTATTTCTTATTTTTTTTTTTATTATCATCAATTTTTTTCTTGCTTTAACTATTTAAACTTAAAATTTTTTAAAATCTCAACTTGTCTATTCTTAATTACCACATTAGGTGAGAGCCTTGTCGTATTGAAGAGATGGTGGCTTGGTTTAATTTGCAATGGAGTTTCCTCATGCCCTAACTGTTTAAACTTAACATTTTTTTAAATCTCAACTTGTCTATTTTTAGTTTTGGAATTGAAAGAAAGCCTTGTTGACATTAAAGTGATATAGCTAATTTGTAAAAGAATTACCTTTTATCTCTTATTAACTAAAATTTGATTTCTTAAAAAGAAAATGACAATGAAATAAAATTCTAAAATTGGACAATAATATACATAACTTGCAAAGTTATACGTTTGTTACACACTGATGGAAAACCGTCAATTTTAACGGCACAAATAATAGAAACTATCAATTTTAACAGTACAAATAACAGAAATCATCGATGTGTAACAGAATGTATAATTTTGTAGGATACGTGTACCATTTCCTATAAAAGTACACACTATCTACATATATAAATGCAAGTCATGAGTGATCTACAATTACATTAATTTGTTAAATACTAAAATAAAATTACTATCTCCTCTATTAGACTAGACTAAATTACCCAAAAAGAAAAACATATATAGACTACAGTTCTTGTTTGGGTTGAACTAATTAGCTGAATGTTCGCTGGATTTGATGGGCTAGTTCTTCAGCACTCAGTTGGCATTCAATTCCAATCTGTTAAAAAAAAAAAATTTAATAAAATCTTCTGCAATCAACATGGTATTTATAATTTCTCAGTAAATGTTAAACTCAGGGAAAGAAAAACCAGCACTACTACCATAATTTCTCGCCCAATATTTTCAGCCACCTATCTTGCTTTTCAACAGAGATGCAATAAATTAAACAAAACAGGCAGACCCAAACTACCAATGCAGTACCACAAAATGTCAGCTTTCCCTAGCTCTCTTTCTTTTCTTTTTTTTTTTTAAATATTAAATGTTCAAAACTCTTTGACAAACTAACACGTACTTTTAAACTTAAAATCAATTAATAAAATATATTTTTTATGTACAAGAAATTAATTCAAATCAGCACTAATTGATATTTTTTTCTGTTATTTTCTTTTATATTTATAAATGAATTCAAATCGCTATCCTTATTTTGTGAAAAGAAATTATATTAAAAACACTTTCTCTAACACTTTTTTTAAAATATTTTTATATGATTAAAATACATATAATATAAATTTAATGTAATCAATCATAGTTTTAAATATTAAAAATATTAATTTAATATTAATCACTAATTATTAATCAACTTAAATATATATTTTATATGCCTCAATTACGTAAAAAGTACTCAAAAGATAGTGCTAAAAAGATATTCCTAGCACTCCTCACTGCCAAAAAAGTACTTCTAATATAAAATCAACTAAGGATAATAATAGTATGGTCATAAATTTCGCATCATATAAGTTCAATTTTTTTTAGTGAAATAACCTATACATATTTTTCGGTCAACACGCTCTTCATGTATATAGGGCAAGGAAAATAATGAAAAACAAGGGGTTTAACATTTGATTTATAACAACAAATGAACTTAACAAAGAACTAAATATACGCTTCTGATATCATGCTAATGAAAAACATTCCAACTTAAATTAATTGGTTAATTTTAATTTTAACATAGCCCCAAAACTTAATCAATTTGGGATTTTCCCCACTTTAACCAGTTTAGTTTTAATCTTGTAAAGTTAAAAATAGGAGATAAAAAATAAGTTAAAATATATTTTAAAATATTAACTATATCATATTAGTTAATATGCTCGATAGCAAAAGTAGCTGCCATATCACCGGTTGTTTGGGTTGTAATTTAGACAGCGAAAACACATTATCATAGAAATATTAGTTTAATATATATAGGCGAGCTAGTAATTTTACCTTGATGGTGAAGGAATTAAACATGGTTTCATCAATAGTACTGATGCTCACATCTATGATCTCAAGAGACAGGTCCTCAAGAGCAGAAATGATCTTCAACGCCTGACCAGGAATCCGTGCAGACACCGTCTCCAAAAGAACATTCGCCCCCGAAAACTTCACCTCCACCCCTGCTACGGCAGACTTGGAGTTCGCCAGGAGCTCGTTGAAAGTGTCAACGGAGGAGGAGGAGGAGGAGGCTGTGGAAGAAGAAGTTGGAGACGGTTCAAGTGAAGTACCACCGCCCATTGCCGTCGGGGAAATGTAGCCTTGCCGATGTAACATAGACCTATAAGGGCCGCATGGTTGCGGGGTTCGTGGGCTGATCGGCAAGTTCAGCCGGGGACTCACCGGCGGTTTTCTAGGGCTCAGCGGCCATGGAACGCTCGGACTGGAGACAAATTTTGGACTCAATACTTCACTGTAAACTTTTCTCTGTTTCTTCACCTCTAGTGACTGTAGAACTTGCTGCAATTCGGTGATGTAATCCACCACACCGCCAATAATGGATGCTTGGTCTCCCTGAAACAAATAATTTTATAAGAAATGTTAGTTAAAAAACATGTGGGCCTTAATACAACATGAGGTTTCAATTTAAAACCAATTGTTAGAGCAACGCTGCCACACAGAAAACTGAGGCCTAGACATAAGGAAGAAGATGATGGGTCTTGAAGAGAGTGGTCAGAACCTAATTGACACACTTGATATTATGTTAGAAATTATGTGGGTTTTAATGTAATATAAAGTTTTATCTTAAAATTAATATTTAATTATAAAGAAAGTAGTTCATACAATATTTAAGCCACATGTTTATTCTCTTATTTTTTTAAGTAAAATTTCTCGCTCTAATGGTTCAAAAAAATGTAAAGATCTTTTCTAAAAAAAATCGTACCATAAATTAGTTTGAGCATCCTGACTGTTAATTAGCCTAGTTGGTTCATAGGAGCCATTCAGGTCAATGACCCCATACAATTTGTAACAAATTCAATAAAAACTTTCAAAAGTAGTTTGTGCCTGAATCCAATTGAGGGCGGTTTATTTTTTAGAATAAATAAACAGTTTCTAACAAACTTGCCTCTCACCATGCTGACAACATGCTTTTAACATTTATAGAAGTGTCTTTTTTTACTGTTTAGTGTTTCCTTACCTTATGTTCCTTTCGACTTATCGGGTAGGTTAAAATATATTTATATAGATAAAGCAAAAAATAAAATAAATGAATAAAAACCTCTTTCCTTCTCCCCCTCCACCATCCACCTCTAATTTTTTTATCTAAAAAAAAAAAACTAATTCCTTATTTTCTCTTCATTTCTTTCCATTTTTCTTTACCCAAACAAGTCCTTTGTCCCATAAGTTTGAAAATGTTTTTAAAAAATGGATAAATTTCTCGAAAAAGAAGTTGCTCATGATCAATTCCAAAATCAAGTGCCAAACAGCCAATATCCTTTTTACATGTTAAAAAAAAAAAAAAATTACTCGTACCCTTTTGACATGGAAGCCAGGCGTCAAGGATCTCAACACCGATAAATGCTCGTTCATTTGCTTTCTCCGGTTGCGCTCCACCGTTATATGAGACATCTTCTGTTGCCCGTCTGAGTTTGCTTCTTCCAAGTAAGGAGTACTTGGCTTCAGTCTCTTTCTCTTCAGGGAGACTGCCGGCGGCTCCGTCGCCAACAACTCCTTTAAGGAAGAAGTTGAAAACTTCTGTGAAACCAGTCTTGTTCCTTCCTCCATTTCTTTCTGCCTAACAGCAGCAGCTGTTTCATCCAACGTCGTCATCGGAGAAAAATCAGCTACGCTGTCCAAACTGTCCAGAATAGCAAAGAGATCGTCTCCGGCCAAGTTAGACTCTCCAAATTCATGTTCCTCAAAAAAATCGGACAAACAATCATCCATTCTGAATTTGATTTTTTGTTTCTCGAGAAAGCTTGGGAAAAGGAGAGGGAAAATAGGAGAGTTTGTGAAGGGGAAATATATAATTTGAAGTATACTAAAAAGAGAAGAAATTAAATAGGGGGAGCAGATATGAAAGGGACTAAACTATCACCATCAAGTCTCTTTTGATGGGTTATGAAATTACAGGTGGATAAAGTGGAGAGGGAGAGGGAGGGATATGGTAAAGCTATGAAGAAGTGAAGCACAAAATTCCAAACGGAAAAGCCACAAAATTTAAAAATGGAGGGGGAGATGGCCAGTGGAGAGGAAGCTAGGGCGCTGCTGGTGCTGGCGTGGCATGCTTTCTGTTATAAGTTGAGCATAAGTATAAATGAGGGTGTGTTGTGCTGATAATTGAATGATAATCGAAGCTAATGAAACTATTGAAAAGGACGTCAGTTATTATTATTATTTTTTTGAACATGTACAATTTAGGATTGGGATAAGAAATTGTAATAGTATAGTGATATGCATAATTTTTTTATTATATTTTATATAATATTTATATGTTATTAAATTAATAAGTGTATTTAATATTATAGATGGTAAATAAATAAATAAAATTAATTATTTAAATGACACATAAAATTATATAAAAAAATAAAAATTTACTATTATTATTTTTTTGAACATGTACAATTTAGGA